AATAAACGATTTCATTTGAACTGTACAACAAATCTTCCTAAAACGTCAAAAAATCAGACTTTACAGACATATATATTTGTGATTATTGTGGTTGGTTTATGACTGGGGCATACGATTCTGAAAATGCAACAACCTTGTAAATGGGGAAGAAATTACACAGATGTCAACCAAAGGGTACATTCAATTCAACCTGTTGTATCACTTTTACAAAGTAGAGAACGTGGTGATTTCTCGAGAAAAGGCCAGCATTTTCAATTTATAGAAAATATCTATTATTCTTGGTTTCCAGAAACAACACCAAGAGCAATAATCATTGAAAGACGTGGTAACGCTTACAAAAAACTTGAATTCAAATTTCATCCTAACTGTAAGAATGGCTGTTAATTTGCCTCTGTCACGTGGACAACTTCTTTTGCGAATATCTTTAAATAAAAACAAGGAAATAAGTCATACAAACGAATTCAGAAATTTTCAAATTCAGGGATCTGTTGTTGCAGAATCAGTAGACGAGAATGAAAAAAATCAATGTGATGGAAATGAAAACATTTAATTTGAAAATGATGTACATAATGAGTCTGATGATGAAATGTACGATAGTTATGATGATCCAATCTGGAAGCCCAAAAGAAAAGAAATGCTTTTAAGCAGCTCGGACAGCGAAACAGATTGTAGCAATAAACGTAAAAGAAAGAGAAGAAAAACGTCAAAAAACAAGCAGATCAAGAAAAACAAAACTGTTAATTCCACGAACAAATCAGTCAATGAAACAAATGCAAAAATCGACGATATTGGTAAGGGAATCTTGATATCTGCTGAAAACCGAGAGGATCCAAGTAACATTTCTAACAATCACATTAACGACGAACAGATCCCGTTTGAAAAAGAAGTGATTATTGAGGAGCAGAGTCAATCAGAAACTGTACCTCCTGCACAACTGCACATAGACGAAAACAACGAGTTGGAACGCGAACAATCAGATGCTGAAACTCAGACTACTGTTGATAGACAACAAATTCATTCAGAAAATGCCAATGACATGGAAACCACACAGGAACCCAAGAAACATAGAAAAAGAAACCTCTCAGATTGGGAGAGAAATAAACAAAAAGCATTACGAATGCAAGGTAAAGGGTATAAAGGGATGACGAAAATTGACGGTCACTACAAATGTACATGTACAGTGGAAAGACCAGAAAGGGTCATGAAAGAAAAAAAGTGCTCAAGAAAATGCCAGAACTGTTCTTCGATAGGCGAGGAAGAAAGAAGAAGCATTTTTTAATCAATTCTGGAACAATATGGACTGGGATCAGAAAAAAGTTTACATCTTAACGTTGGTGGATGTGAAAAGTTGTAAACAGAGAAAGCAAGATGAAGATATAAGCAGGCGTTCTAAATCTCTAGTTTATCATCTCAAACGAAACCATGAAAGGATTCCAGTTTGCAAATCCATGTTTCTGCTTACCTTTGGCATTGGCGAAAAGACTGTTTATACCTGGATAGATAATGCTGATAGGGGAATTCCTAAGCGACCAACCGTACGACAGATACAAAGTCGAGCTCCAGAAAAAGTTACTTTTGCAAATGACTTTTTGAAACAACTACCAAAGATGCCTTCACATTATTGCCGACCGTCTACCTCGAAACAATATTTGGAACCAACTTTTAACTCCTTTTGTGAACTCTACAATGAATACGTTGTACAGTCTAAACAATGTAACAAACCATTCCTGGCAAGGAAGATGTTTACAGAAGTATTTGAAAGCCAGAAACTCTCTTTATTCAGTCCTAAGAAAGATCAATGTGATATTTGTTGTGGCTTTGAGACCAAAAATATATCAGAAGCGATATACGCGAAACATTTAGAGATGAAGTTGGCAGCACGCACAGCAAAAGAAAAAGATAAAGAAAGGGCACTTGTAGAGGACAATCTGAAAGTAATAGTGTTTGATTTGCAGGCCCTGCTTCTTTCCCCTTTGTTGAAAGCAAGCTCTATGTGTTACAAGACTAAATTGGGTTGTCACAATTTCACAGTATTTGATTTGTGTACGAAAGATGTGACATGCTACTTTTGGCATGAAGCGGAGGGCGATTTAACAGCAAATGCATTTGCCTCATGTGTCCCTGATTATGTAGATAATCTTGATGAAAGAATCGAAGAAGTCATCATGTACAAGTGATGGATGCACTTATCAAAATAGGAATGTTGTGCTAGCTAACGCCTTGTTAAAAGTATCACATGATAAAAAAATTCGAATTGTTCAGAAGATTTTGGAAAAAGGACACACGCAGATGGAGGTAGACAGTGTTCATAGTGTAATTGAGAGGAAACTCCGCAACAAACCGATCTATATTCCACAAAATTATGTCGACATCATGAAGGCATGTAGACCATCTCAGCCATATACCGTGAGGTATTTGACACATGATTTCTTCAAAGATTTCACTTCCTTAAATTACTACCAGTCGATTCGACCTGGAAGCAAAGCTGGCGAACCTACCGTTACCGATCTCAGGGTGTTGAGATACCTACCTAATGGTACAATTGGATACAAGCTGCATCATGACGGGAATGAATTCATGGAGTTTCCAAGACGGGCTAAGCTTCGTTCACCTGCAGATGATGATGCTGTTGAAAATTTATATCAGCAACGGATTGAAATTAAAACAGTGAAATATGCCCATCTTCAAGAGTTGAAAGGGGTTATTCCTGGTGATTATCACCCTTTTTATGACAGTTTGCCACACACATGAGTATGCCATACTTACCTGAACGTTGTGAACTCTACTGTTTATTATGTTTTTATTTTCCCCTGCAGTAAAGCTATACTGTTAAGACGTTGCAAGTCTTGTTTCCCTTTCATGAACCATGAATATTAAAGCCTAATTTTTTTGTTAATTGCTTGTTCTACATTGTTGAATTGGAAGTAAATTTCTGCAAATACTTAATACGTAATCATTAATTAATGTTCAGAATCAAATTTTACACGGTGAAAACTATAGATCAAAAACGTTTTCACATCATGAAGGGGATGAAAAGGAGAAAATAAAACACGTAGGTCAATCTCATCTCAAGTGTGTATGATTGAAAACGTTATTTATCAATTATGGGGCAAGCTAGTTTGATTATTATGTAGAAACGGTGAGTGACAAAAGGTCGTAAGTACCAAAAAATTGAGACAAATCATCGTAAGTCCGCTATGCTCCGTACTGTGCACAGTAGTTTAGATTGCGAATCGGCATCTTCAAAACAATGGTTATTAATGATAATTTTGAAAACAATTTTGATATGTCACTAAAAGGAAACGCATAAAACAGTTTTTTGACTCTCCTGAAAATTATCAAATATTGACTTACGAGGTTTTGGAAGCGCAGCGACGATATGTACATTCAGAAATATTAAAACAGTTGTCAGTATCACTAACATTGTAATGTAAAAGTAGCTGCAAAATAGTAAACAACTGTTGCAAGTCATTGTAAAATGTTAAATGCAAATCATTAAAATATGCATATCAGTAATTGCAAAAAGGGATTATAGGGGCACGAAATGGGCAATGAAATTAGAAGTTATATGATATGTGTTTATTTTCAAAATGAATCGCTGTAGCTACAGTGCATTGTCCGGATTTGGAATTCCGCTGCCTTCGAAGTAACGACTGCATAAGGAAAGAACTTTATTGTGATGGCAAGCCAGACTGCTATGATGAAAGCGACGAAGAAGTTTGTAAGATAAGTTGTAAATAATAGGAGTAGTTTGTGCTCAGTCTAACACAATACACCAGAATTTGTGTCTTATTCTATTTGAATGAATTACAGTAATTTTTTTTTCAGGTGAGGTCCATGATTTGCAGAAATCGCCAGAGTTAGCAATATGTTTGAATTCGACTGATATATACAACTCTATAAATGACACAAGGCATCTGATACCGCAAAATGTCACAGGAATGGGACACCTTAACAATATTGACTCAAATATCCCAAATAAAACTAAAAGACTTTTTGAACGTCATAGGGGTTCTAGTGAAACTAAATTGCTAACAGGGATTAATGATGATGAATTTGCTCATCCGAGAAATTTTTCCAACATTTTGGGAACTTGTAATCAAAAGTGTCCGAAGTCTTGCTTAAGGTCGACATTCAAAAAATGTATAAGCCACAATTTCAATTTTCATCAGTTTTTAGAATGGCAAAATCTTTCATGCGACCAAATTTCTCTTCATAAATTTGTCCCCGTTAATGCTTATTCTGTAAACATAACAAGATCAAGAGTTAATTCACTATACATTGAGAGACAAAAGATAAACAATTTGCAGCATATCACTATCAGCAATACTTATATTAAAGATCTTACGGTTGTCCAAGGTAGGATATCTAAACAACAACTACAAGCCATTAATTTGATAAACTATACTTTTCGACATATTAAAATATCATACTCAACTGAAAAGTCTAACTTCACAATAAAGCTTGTTTCAGAGAATAATTCACATAGCAACAAAGGCCTAGACGCAGTAATCTCTTTTCAAACGGACTTCTGTGATATATTATTGCGAACAACCGTCAACAATGCTATAGAGATATCTTTGAGTAAGAAAACATCTACTGAATATGGGAGTGAAATAAAAATTGGATTAATAACGGGACTTTTAAAGGCCTCATTAGATATGAAACTATCTAAAGCTGGCATGAGATTCAAGGAAATATATTTAAATAACAATGATGTGATGCCTATTCAATTGTATACTGCTAAATACAAAGGAACAAATTGTGACCATTATAGCATGCAGAGAAGTGCATTAAAACACGTTTATATTCCCGGTATAAATCAAGAACAGCTTAAACTATTAGATCTTTCATTTAATTATATACCAATTATCAACAAAGAAGATTTTTCCGGTACAAGGTCCTTGATTAGTCTTGAATTAACTGGCAATAACATTAGAAGAATTGCAGATGGCGCTTTTGTAAACTGTCAATTACTTACTCTTCTCGACTTTTCAAAAAATGCATTGACTGCTATTTCCTCACAAAACTTCAAAGGACTAAAAAATCTCCGGTATCTATTTTTAAGCCACAATCAAATCAATTCCATTGAGAGGTCTACATTTATCTACCTAGAAAAACTTCATACACTCGATCTTTCAAACAACGTCATTGAAATATTTGTGATGGGTATATTTTCAGAATTGGAAAGTTTAGAAAAACTTTACATACAAAATAACAAAATTGTATCTGTGGAGGGAATGTTTGCTGGCCTATTTAGTCTCAAGTTTCTTCAAGTAGATTTCTTTTCCATATGCTGTGCCAAACCTAGGAATTACTATGACGTAACGTGTGTTGCACCTCAGAATGAAATTTCCTCTTGCGAACAATTAATTAGCGTACCAGTCCTAAATGTCATTATTTGGTACATTGCACAACTTGCAACATTTGGAAATTTAATTGCCTTAATCTACAATATAATTAGTTTCAGTAGCGGATCGTCATTTACGTATTTCTTCCTTTCTAGCAATTTAAGTTTGGCTGATTTACTTATGGGAGTCTATTTGTATATCATTGCTGTGGTAAATCTAATTCATACTGGCAGATACGGATTCGAAGATCATAAATGGCGCCAAAGTTTTCTTTGTACTTTTGAGGGAGTTTTAGCCACATTATCAAGCGAAGCCTCCGTTTTATTTGTTTTCCTTATAACCATTGACAGAGTCACATCTATAAAGCATCCTTTCTCGCAGAGAAAGAAAGTTTGGTATTTCGGAGCAGCTTTATTTTCCTGGATTATCGCGATCTCTTTGTCTCTGTTTCCGGTTTTGCCGCTTAATTTACCCTTGTTCGATGGCTTTTATTCCCAATCTCCGATATGTATATCTCTTCCATTATCTGTGCGCAGACAACCTGGCTGGCAATATTCTATGGTTATTTTCATCGGTTTTAACTTCACATTATTTCTCGGTATTCTTTTTGGACATTTTATCATTCTGTTTGATGTCCTTAAGTCAGGGAGGGTCATTCAAACCTCAAATACACATGTAAGGGAGATAACTCTTGCTAAGTCTGTTGTTGCTGTTGTTATGACGGATCTTCTGTGCTGGATTCCAATAGGAATAATAGGTATGTTAATTGAAATTCCTGGGTATAGAAAAGAAAACTCTTCTTTTTCACGTGTTATTCTTTTCGTGTCATGTGATATATATCCTATCCAGTCAGAAGCAGCATTTTTTGTGTAAGTGTAGAATTACATAGAAATAGTTTAAAACGCTCAAATGAACGCTTAATGTAGTTCAGATAAAATGTGAAAAAGCTAAATTTCGTTTTTTTTTTTTTTTAAGTCTTAAAGGAAATATTTAAAGTTTCATATTGGATTACCTTTGACCTTTGTGACAGGTATGTTGACGTTTTCTGGGATAGATGTTTCTAGGGAGGTATATGCTTGGATAATAGTGCTCGTTCTGCCCATTAACTCTGCAATTAACCCTATCCTTTACACCTTGTCAGGTGTCATACGAGATAGACGGAGAAGAAAGGTACATATTTTTATATATAACACATTTATTTTTAGGGTTATAATAAAAAATGGCAAGTAACTCAGGGTCTTCAATGCTTCAGAGTTAAACAAGATTTTATGAAGTAAAATATGTATCTAACATTGAACTTGTTTTATTTCCCTGCAAGCATTAAAACTGAATTTACCAAATCAATATCATATAAAGTACATGGTCGTAATAAAATTTAAATTCATAATTAAAGTCATAAACTGCATGTGGTAAATTTTTTTGTTAAAATTCATTATTATATATTTTGACGTATGTAAGCTTTTTCAAAGGAAGGATTGGTAAATCTTGGACGTTATTTTATGCCAATTTAGAGGGTGTTACCTGTTTGCAAAGGCGCAGCGTGAAGAATTCAGAAATCTTTTGTCAAGAAACTGTGTTACTCCATACATTATAATGGTATTGAACTAATATGTAATAGTGTCCGATCGGAACATAAATCATTATATTCTAGTATTTTTGTATTCATGTAACAAAGATTGATTCTTTCTAGGTCAATGAAACAACTTTTCAGAAAGAGAAAAAACTGCTGGAGCAGGAAATTGTTCGTCTCAAACGTCGACTGGATTCTTCCAAAGTATGCAATTTTTTTTTTTAATTTAAGAATAAACATTTCAATTTTTGCTTCATTAAACCTAATGAAATTGATGTTGCCTTGGAAAATCTAAAAATACAATATTAAGCATAATGGTGTGATAAGTTAAAAAAAAACTTGCTTTACATACACTGTAACAAGGAATTTGTTAAGTATCATTGTTCTGCTTTGAAATTGTAATTTAAAAATAATACTGTCAAAATAACACGATCTCTGGTTATTCTATTATTATGTCCAAAGAGCCATCAATCGCTAAATAATTGAGTACATCAATTACGTTTTCCTCACTACTTCACATTCTACCAACACGAGAGTGCGTAACAGTGGTTATTGTAATATAAACCTTATAAAGTTAGTAATATGCAGTCTGTAGATTTCATTGTTCCATGCATGCTACTTTTATCTTAATAATTTCTTTTGTTTCAATCAGTAGAACTGTTATAATCTATCATGCTTTTAGTTTTTAATGGCTCACCTGGGCCAAAGGCTTAAGTGGGTTTTTTTTTAACTATGATTACTTTGCATTGATCTGGATGACATTTTATTTACCAAACAATTTAATGTTAATAGTTCCATGGGCCTTTTGTTCATAATTGAAAGGTAAATTATACATCATAGATTAAGTCAGAAGAAAGTGTTTGGCTACTTCACATTTTCAATCTTTATAAGATGTAATTCTTTAGAAGAATTTTTTTTTCATAGTAGCACTTATTGGATGAAAAGCTTTTCATACGCTTTCATTTTGTTTCAGAAGTGCGAGAGTTGGATTGGAAGTATTACAACACTTAGTAGCCCTGATTAGATGGTTGAAGTTTTATTTATTCAATAGAGACAGTAAGCATTTAGTGTATTGCACAAGAAATGAGTAATCTGCATAAAACACAAAATTCACGCTGCCAATTCTTTTTTCCCAAAGAAGCTGACCTACGCATAAAATATGAATTTGGCAGATAAGCTTTTTAAATCAGAAGTTTTATTCATTTTTTCTTCTAAATACAAAAAAGGAGTCTGTTTATTTTATTTATAAACAGACATGAATATTTTATTGAAATAAATAAGAATAGAAGATATTGCAAAAGTAACAAATTTAATGTAAAAGGGGCTGTAAGTTTTATATCAGATACACCGCTTTGCTGGGAAATATTCAATTGCGTTTGGTAAGATAAAAAAGGTTTTTTTTTTAAGTTTTAAGTTAATTGAAAAACGTTTTGAAAACTATGTATGTATTTATACAGGATGTACAATAATAAGTGAAGTGAAATCAGCGATTTTCAATTACATTCAAATAAACAGTGGAACCGGAAATTTTACTTCTACATTGCACCTAATCCCAATTCTGTTTTTGCAGGTCTGTGTTGGTTTTGCTCACAATGTGTATTGTTTTAATGGACTTTTGAGCATCAGCACTGTTCGTTATCTTCACATTTCATTTTAGCAATTTATAGATTTACTTCTAATTTACTTCTGGACAAATCATGAAACTAAAGATGCTCTCAACATATTTTCATCACAAAAAACTTACAGGATCTGATAAAAATAGTCCTGAAATACCAGTTTTAAAAATATATCTATTTCATTTGACAAATACCTTCAATTGATTGATTGTTTGTTGTTTTACCTCCCATTCGAGAATTTTTCACTCATATAGAAACGTCACTGTACACCGGTGAAGGCTTCAAATTTAAACCTTTACTCGGCACTCAGGGCCACTGAGCAGTGAGGGATCTTTATCATGCCAACGCCTGCCGTGACACGAGGCCTATGTTTTTAAGGTCTCATCCGAAGGACATGCAACTTTCACTTTAGAGTGTCGAGCGCATGGCGAAGGAATCGACTTAGGTCAGTTGCGGCCGAGATTCGAACTTACGACCTTCCGATCACGGAGCGAGCGCTGTACTGACTGAGCTACAAATACCTTCAATGATTTCAATATGAAATTTCAAAAGTTTGCTCTGACTTACTTCTCAATACTTATTCGTTGTAATGTCCTTGTTTGTAATTAAATATATTGTTGGGTCGTAATCTGACATGTTTCAGACCATTTGTTAGATCATTACTTTTATACTAAATTTGACTACAAATTACTCCGTCTACCTGTTCAATACATAGGGCTTACGGCGGTTGTGACAGGGATTACTTACTCCTCCTAGGCACCTGATCCCACCTCTGGTGTTTCTAGGGATCCGTGTGTTTGCCCTGTTCACGATTTGTGTACTCGATTGAGATTAATCACTATTCGTTATCTAAAAAAAAAATTACATTTTAATATTTACATTTGCCAATGTCTTTCCTTATATAACAATTCTAATTAAATTGAAATATAATTTTCAATGGCATGCAGTTGGTCACATGATAAGACTTTCTTGCGTTTGGAAAGTAAACTGCACGAGTCATTTGGAAACTTCCTATTGTGACGTTACATGACGTTGTAGGTACATGTTGCATTTCCTAGCAAAGTCTAAATAATGCCTATATTTCACGAATAAAAAGGTAAAATATAAATATAAGAAATAAAATATCATTTTTAGAGTTTCACTGGGATATGACATGAAGTCGTTACGTGATGAAATCTACTATAACGCCCTTCGGGCGTTATAGGATTTGATCATGTGACCAATTTCATGTCATTCCCCAGTGAAACTCTAAAAATGATATCTTATTTCTTAAATATCATATTTTTTTTTATAAACGATATTTGAAAATGTAAAATGCATTTTTCAATTCTATTTACAAAACTAGGAAAGGAAATACGGATTTTTGAATACTCCGATTACATTTTTGTGCGAGATATAGGAATTTACATCAAATACATTGATTAACCCATTCTCCTTCGTGATCTCCTAGATCTTTTTTCATATTTTCATTGTCAGAATTAAAGCACACAAGATCAAAAAAGACATAAATTGGTTCTTCCAAGCAACCACGAGTTTATCGTATCTGCTCTATAGAGTTCATTTTTTTAAATACATATACATTAGCATGTACAGTAATTTGTATAAAAAAAAAAAAAAAAAAAAAAAAAAAAAAAAAAAAACACCTAAGAATAGAAGACTAGGCGTAAATTAAGAATAGAAGACTTTATTCTATTCTAATTTTGCCCCTTATTAGCAGACCCGTTTTTATCATGAAATTAAGAATAGAGAACTCTAATTGTGCCCCGTTATTAGCAGACCTGTTTTTATCATGAAATTAAGAATAGAAGACTTTATTCTTTTCTAATTGTGCCCCGTTATTAGCAGGCCTGTTTTTGTACTCTTATGAAGCAGAATTTATTCAAAACTTCTACCTGAAAAGAAATCTCTTGCTGTGGACTTCATTTCGACATTCATTGTATATGTTCGACGATGTATTATCAATTAACAATATTTATTTTCATTCCTACATTGATTCAATATATCCCACTGAACTCTAATTAAAAGACCCCACAGAGTCTGACACATCTGTTTCATAATTGGATGTTTTACTAGAGGTTAGAGAAAAATGGATGGAAAACAAAAATAAAACTTTATGATAAACGTGATGATAGCAACTTTTCTACCCTCAACTTCCCTTGTTTCCGTATAGATGATGCTTTACTGGCTACAGACGATAAAGGCAAACTAACAACTTAATTGTCCGAAAAAGGAGATATCTTCAGCTTTTCGACCGTCCACAGGAATTTCAACGATTTTGTCAGCACTTCGTAAATTCTATGGTCGTAATAATGACCTTGTTAACAAATTTAACCTATCACTTGGTCGTATTTTGGCTGACGTGGTTCATTCCAATTGTTAGGCCTTTCTTTTTATACTAAATTTCACTACTGAATGTTCCGTGGTGCGGATCAGGTTTTATAACCTTTTTACGGAGTTTGTAGATGTTTTGAGATCGATCAGTGTTCGATATCTTCACTTTTTTCATTATGAAGCAATATACATTATCGCCTTGATATGGAGTTTTTCTCTCCCATCTGATTCGATTTACGGGAACATGTTCTACACACGAACAACTAAATTCAGGCAGGCTACTGACACATTGAAGATATAAGGATATAAACAATCCTTTTAAGTCACCATTTCTAAATTCTATGGTCGATAAACTGACCTTGTTTGCAAGTTCAATCTATCGTTAGGTCATATAAATTCATAAAAATTGTTAGGCCATTATTTTTATAATGTCTATGGATTTAACAGTTTAACAGTTACGGTAACAGATGACTAAATGTAATTCAAACCAGACTACGGCATAATTGCGTATTGAATAGCGACCTTTATAGATGCAATTTAATATCAAGTCATTTATGTTCGTGTGGTAAAGTTGAGGATACATATCATTATTTTTTTGTATGTCCAAAGTATGAGAAAGCCAGAAAAGAATTTTTAAATAAATTTTTACAATTTGACAAGATACACATTCTAGATATACATGTCTTATTATGAGGTAGATTCATTGAATGCTGCAGAAAACGAACGTTTCTTTTCTTTTGTTCAAACATTTATTAAACATTCTGGTAGATTTCCTTGTTAGCATTAATTAATGTATCAATATATGCAATTGATAAATTTGTTTGGCTAATGAACAATGAAAGTAAAAAGGTGTTATTGCAATTGGCAAAATTTATTTACCTGAATTGTGATTAATGGAATCTTTCCAAATTATTAAACTGTACTGTATATATTCATAATTATAGATGCAAATTAATTTATATATTGTATACACTTCCTGGGACAACCACATTAGGTACGAGGTGGAACATATTTAAATACAGTTTATACTATATAGTATTAAAAGGTAAAATTACTGAAATGTCCCAGCATGAGTCAAACATGTTTCTATGTGTGTGTGTGTATATATATTTTTATATATATGTATATATATATATATATATATATATATATATATATATATATATATATATATAGGTTCACGTATGTTCCGGAAGCATCGTCCCTTGGTACCTTCTGTTGTTGTCTAGGCTGTATTTATACAAATCTGTTTACTACCATGCTTAATTTAACATGTCTCATTGTTTTATGCCTCTCGGGGCCCCTTGAATGGCAATAAATCATCTGTATATCTGTATATCTGTATATGCATTTGTACAAGATTAAGTGTATCTATATATCAGCAAAATGCATCGATTTATATTTACATTTCCAAATATTTTTCCTTAAGATTCTTTGCAAATTAGAAAACTGTTCATTTTCTCATGAACTACCATGGATGAGCATGAATATCTTCATTGTTACGTCATAATACCGCACTCGACGTCAAAACTATAGTGACAACTGTTTTGATTAAAAAATGATAGTTGAATAGCGTAATTTATGGCGACTCATCAGAAAAATAATGTAAATATAAGAAATGAATTTATTTTTTGAAGATTCATGAGGTACATGAACTAAAACGCTTTACGCCGGCATATTTATCATGAAGCGCTAACACGCTTCATGAAATATGCCCTTGTGAAGCGTCATAGTTCATGTCCTCATGAATCTTCAAAAAGTAAATTCATTTCTTGAGTAAACTTTTGCAAATATTGTATACTTTAAAACTTCATGTTTAACTGTGATGATTTAAATGTGTAATTTACATGTAGGAAGAGGGCGTAATAACTTTTCAGAACTTGTGCCCAATCCCATTGTATTTATAAATTATAATAAATATGTTCAAACAAACCAAAATCTTACTCGTTTATGTCAAGGAGCACACGGAAGTTGTGACCGGTCGACAGGGGATGCTCACTCTGCCATGTCACCTGATCCTTCTTATGTTTTATGAAGTTTGTGTTTGCGTTGCTTACAATTTCTATCGGTGAACTGGATTGTTGAGCATGATCACTGTTTGTTATCTTCACATTTCATCTGAATAATTTCCCATGCAACCTTTGTAACACATTATGTTTTAAACAAGATACATTTACTGCTCTTTAAAAATAATCGTGACTGCTTGTAATAATATGACTTATTTACAATCTACATTTGATGTTCATATAAATCGTACAAATTTCTAACTTAACTTATATATAAAGAAAGCTAATTTAACACCAACTAACGTAACAACTTTCAAATCTATATGGCATGTTTACAAATGTCATTTATAATTACATATTATGTAAATAACTAAATCAAAAATCAGAAATATCGATTTTCTGTTTCGGAGGGATTCTGGATTATAGAACAATGATTAGTTTCAAAATAATGCATAAATCTCAAGTTTTTTTTTCTTCTTTTTTTTATTCTTGTTTATTGAAATATGATTCAATTTTCGTTATAAGGTTTTTCATGAATCAGAGTCGCTGCATTGGAATGGTGGTGTTTTCCCAGTCACAATTGGATAGTAATTTTTCCGAAGGAGTTTGATATTCTGTGATGTCCATTGAACGCTGCTGAGAGGACAACTTCTGAATTCTTTGACTGTTTCATCCAAAATCTGATCGTATGTTCTGTACAATAAATATATCACAGAATAAGAACCAATTTCCGGTTGATTTAAATTGTAAAATGTTGCGGGGAAACATTTATCCCACAGAACAAAATCTCTTAATAAACGATTAAAAACATTATTATGTCTGTCATTTTGTCATGCCTGTTTGTTGACTGTCATTGCCAGGTAATTTTCATGTGTTCCATGATTTAACAAAAGGTCAAATCACAAAGGACACACTCTTTAGTAAAAGGTTGCCCAAGCTTTACAACTGGAACAATGATTGGAGTAAATACCAATAGTATGATTCTTTTGACTCTTTCCGAATCACAATAGTTAACATCACTTGGCAATAAAACGTTAAATGTTGATTTATTTGTTGGTTAGTTTTGTTCACCTTTGGGCATGTTAGGGACGACGTTTATTTTATTATCGTCTTATTTTTTTTTCTACGTTTGGCATTCATGGATGAAGTTTTGGAAGAAAATTTTTTATTTCTTTATTGAAAACGTAAAAAGTTAAACATATAAAAAAAAAAACCTGATAATAAATCTTCATTTTAAACTTACGTGCAGAAAGACTCTTTGGACAAATTATTTGTTGTGAAATCGTGGTCTGCAGGTTTCATCAGGGGTCGTAATATTTGGGAATAGTTATCAAGCTTCATGAATATACTGTTAAGACATGGTCGCAACTCTTGTATCACTACAATGAGAAAAAGTTAACTTTCTCAACTAATCACTGTATATGAGGAAAATTACATTTGGACAAAAGCTTATTTACCATGATCAAACACTCACGTGGGTATATAGGATTTATACAAAGGCTTGTTTCTGTAGTTGTAAAAATGGACAAAAACTTTCTTTGATCAGCACAGTCTGTGTCGTTAAAAATATCAAGTTCTTTTGCACAATCAAGGAGTTCCTGTGTATATCTGTAAATGAAATATCCATAGTTTGAAAATACAGAATTGTTTATGAAGAATGAGATTATTTAAAGCTGAAGTAAACTTAGGATTAAACATCTTAAAAAATTTATATAATTTATTAAAACTGCCACCCGGTAACATACTTAATACATGATTCTACTCTGCACTTTTCAGTTTCCATCGTAAGAAAAATAATTAAATAAAATTCACATAAGCGATAGTTTTAAATTCATTTCTTACAATCTGATAGAATACAGTGATTTAGCAAAATATAAAACTACAAATTTCATAAGAATCGGAGAATTTAAAAGTTAATATCGATTAAAATACAGTTTAGCGAAATTGACAGGTCAAGGTACATTTATTTGTAGAATCAGATCTTTGCGTAGTTAATGGCATCATACGATTTTTATATATAACGAAAAAGTGTGGACCATCAGCAACCTTCACCTGTTTACAAACACTTGGTATAATGCTTAGCATTTCAATATTCCAGTCTATGTCTAACAGATAATTTCCTCGAGAAAGTCATTTTAATATAAAATTCTTACTTGCAATAATCGGTGAAAAAATTTTCTCTGAGGAAAAAGTTGCCTTCTTGGTCTGTAGCATCTATTGAGGTTTTAGGACATGAAAATACCTCAAGACAGCTGTTCTCCACATATGTTGTAAAATTCGTGTATTCAGTTTCGTCGTTATCTCGTCTTATCAAAACATTACCTACATATTTAATTATGAAGAATAATTTCAGGACTTGAAATATTTAGCTTATAGCCTATATTCAGATTATAAAGACTACGTATGACATGACACGTATCTAAGAATAATAAAAATGCCAAACTCCCTGTAAAGTTATTTTCGTTTAACCTTCATTTAATTTAATTATTCTTTGCACAACTGAATCTATATGGTTTATATCGGCTAGTACAACTGAATTTATATGGTTTAAATCAGCTAATACAACTGAATTTATATGGTTTATATCAGCTAGTAAATGAATCAAAGATTTGGAAATGCCCTTAAAGGCATTTCCACACAATGGTATCTTCAGATATGATTGATGCACTGGTTTTTTTTTTAAATTATAAATATAGACTTACCCATGTTGGGCCGAAAATAAGTCATGCTAATGAAAAATAAAATCAAAGATCTAAGAAACATTCCACTGTGCATCACGACCATTCTCTTATAACACCAATGTGGGAAATGTAGATTTCTGTTGACTGCTTCTTATAAATACAGTCAATATCAAAATTATGTTTAATGGTGAAGAAAATTATTTTTACACAACTATGTAAAAGAGATGATTATCCTTTTTAAATGACACTTATACATTTATCCAAATGTCAAAAACCAGCTATTATAAATTTTGAATTGCATAAGTGATAACTACTCTTGTTCATGTCGCCCGCGTGGCGCAGTGGTTAGAGCGTCTAGAGTCGCGAAGTAAGGAGTTGATCCTTACGTCCCGGGTTCGAATCCCACTGTGGGACGTGGAGACCGGTCCCTCGGATGAGAACGTATAAACCGAGGTCCCTTGTCGTAGTAGGTGCTGGCACGGAAAAGATCCCTCGCTGCTCAATGACCGGAAGTGCTGAGTATAGGACAAAATTTGCAGCTCTCCTCCGGCAAGTGGTGGCGTCTCCATATGAGTGAAAAATTCTCGAGAGGGACGTTAAACAACATACAAACAAAAAAAAACTCTTGTTCATACTAATCACCTTACAAAATGCAATAATTGTAATGAAATTGATTTTTTTAAAAATCAGCTATAAAACAAACCATATCAATGGGCAGTAATGTCTAAACAGTTTGTTTGGATTTATTTGTTTTGTTTTATTTATTTATTGTTATTTGCAAGAAGGGTACATATTTTGTTTTGTCATATTTGTATCTGTTTCTATCATAACGTCGAATTCGAAACCCTTGATTAGAATGAATGTAAACATAGTTTTACGGTTGATAATTCTATGGTTTTCCGGCCATTTATTCTTGAAAAACGTGAAGTGTTCCTTTCGAATTCCCGGACCTGATTTTCGCCGCGTCAAACCTACCACGTAAGACATATATATATTGACTGTTCCTTTGCAAGGCGCTTGGCATTAGAAGAGAAAGTCACGAGTCTTTCGGACGAGACCTTAAAAAACCAAAGCCCTGTCACACGATAAAAAAAAACCTCACTGCTCAACTGCCGAGTATAGGTCTAAATTTGAAGACCCTTCACTGGCATACGGTGACGTATTTAATAAGTGAACATTCTCTAATGGGATGTTAAACAACAACGTAAAAAAGCGAAAATGTAATAATCGCTTTTTATCTCCATGAACAAATACGTTTTTTTTAGAAAGTAGGAAATATTCTGCAACAAATAAAGTTTTCTAAATGCAAATTTTACTCCTCGATGCAAAATATTCATACATTTCCTATCTTTATACGTTTTGCATCCATCCCGAGGCAAATTTAAGTTTATCAGTAGAAAAATATCAAAATCCTTGTCAGTTGACTTAACAGGAAAATTACCATATTTTCGAAATTTGGGAAAATTTCTTTTTAATAATAGTTCTTGTAATGGAGATGTTTCTGAATATGAAACGAATCCGAATCTGTAAGAATCTGAATCGGAGGGATCTCGATCCCGATTTGAAAATGAACACAACGCATACAAGATTTCTGTATACATTGAGAATATTATTACAGATTTTTTAGTCCCCTACCGGTGAAACCGGAGGAGACTATAGGTTTCCTCTGAGTCTGTCCGTCCGTCTGTCTGTCTGTCTGTCCCTCTGTCTGCCTGTCTGTCAGTCTCTCCCACTTGGTTTTCCGCACTTTTTTCCTAAACGCTTGCAGATATTGAGCTGATTTTTGGTATGTGAGTGTATCTTGATGAGTTACAGATCAACTTTGCATTTCATTCCGCTTCATTGATTTTTGACGGAATTACGGCCTTTTCAATTTTTAGGGGTTTTCCGCAATTTTCTTCTAAACGCTTTCAGATATTGAGCTGATTTTTGGTAAGTCACTTTACCTTGATTAGTTATAGGTCAAGTTTGCATTTCATTCTGCTTCATTGATATTTGACGGATTTATGGCATTTTCAATTCTTAACGGGAACCAGATTACACTTGCCGGTAGGGGACTAGTATTGCTTATGCAATACTCTCAGAATGCTTGTTTCTTTGGTGTATCAATCTGTAACCTGTATAAAAAGTTTAATGTGTTTGCGACCCCCCCCCCCCCAAAAAAAAAAACACCACCACCAAATCCGAAGAGTAATAAGTCTATGGTTGAAATCGTATATAGATGTTATATTTGTATATTAGTTGCAGCAATGTGAAAAAATAAGAGTTTATGATGTAGGCTAGATTTATTTTTTCTAGGGGCTAGGGAGTGTGTTTAAAATGTCAATGTGAACCATGGATTTTGATAAGGGCGGGGAGGAGGACATACTAATAAATTCCCACTGGGAGATAATAATCACCCTATTTCTCCGACTCGGATATTTTTTTACCAAAAAAAAAAATAAAATTCCCAACTCTCTCCAGACGTGGAAAAAACTATCTGTGTGCGGGGGCATGTCATGATTTGTGATTCTCCTCGACCATGCTTACGAAGGTCGTCCGTGTTTCCCAAAGGAGGGCGTGGGGGGAGGGGGTGGCAAGTTCATCTTTGCTAACTATATTACGTACAATTTAATAACCCTGAAAAATAGGGGGCGGGGCTGGACTACTTTGACACCTTCCACCGCTTGATAGCTACTGAAATTCAAGTCTTTGAAAATAATGGAATGATAGACCAGCCCCCCCCCCCCCCTTCCTATTAATTTTGCCGTTATATACTACACAATATAATCAGATCAAAATTATCAAAATAACGGCTATGTCCCTCATTAATAAAGTTTCTAGACTTTTGTTTTATGTTCAGTTGCGCCCCATTCCCGTACTGTAATTGCGTCTTACAAAGCATCCATATTACATATTACAAGTATATAGTAATAAGAGTCTTTTCAATACATACGAAAGCTATCAGTTTTGTATTATTTTATTGTTCAACTCAATAGACATTCGTTCCTCGGGAGCTCGAGAATTGTGTTCTTTGAGATGTAGGAGACAAATTAAACTTTTTACTGTTCATTTTTACAAGCTACATTCTTCGCCAATGAAGAAAATTTTCCGAGAAATGAAAGGAACAAACTCGCCAAAAATTCGAGTTTGCCCACGGGTGATGAGTAAAAGACGAGATCACCCGTAGGTATCCTACGATGGTATTTCGCAAAATTAATTATGAACTAGTTAAATTCAGAAGGAGGAGGAGGATCAAACATTTTTCAAATTTAGATTCGATATATTCCTCGTCGTCTTAAAAATGAAAAATAAATTAAAGAAATAATAAAATATCATTATTATTCATTGTATAATTAAGAATTTTCTTATGATGATATCTTTCTCAGTTTTCAGATCGGGATCGCGATCCCTCCGATTCAGATTTATTTTCAGATTCGATTCATATTCGATTCGATACATAGCGGGTTCCAGTAAATGTTCAACCAAGCCTCTTTCTTTACTCCTCACTAAGATATAAACAGTAGTGATGGAGAAACTCCAAGAGTACTGTGCAACAATATATTCGAGAAGTGGTGTAAATCAGATGTGGATACTTAAAAATTCCAAGGAACTTTTGGAAAATTTGAAATCACAAGATTTTACCAAAATCAACAGCTTAAAAACTTACGACTTTTCAATTTTATACACAACCATTCCCCACAATAAATTAAAGTCCAGGCTTTTTGATATCATTGACAGCTGCTTTTTCAATAAAAATGGAACTCGTAAATTTACTTTCCTTGTCATTGGTCATTTGCAAAATCCTTTTGTTAAAAAACATACAATTACTCTGAAGTTGACATTAAAAAGATGCTTAAGTTTCTGATTGACAATATCTGTGTGGTTTTTGGAGACCAGGTCTTCCAACAATCTATTGGAATTTCCATGGGTATCAATTGCGCCCCATTATTAGCAGACCTTTTTGCATTCATATGAAGCAGAATTTGTCCAAAACCTTGTACGTGAAAAGAAGAAAACACTTGCTGTGGCCCTCAATTCGACATTTAGATATATCGACGATGTATTGTCAATTTACAATTGTCAATACAAATTGTCAATTTCCATTCTTATGTCCAGGTGAGCTTGAGATAAAAGATACCACAGAGTCTGACACATCTGTTTCATATTTGGATATTTACTTGAAAAAGACGTTGATGGTAATCTAACAACCAAGCTTTATGATAAACGTGATGACTTTAACTTTTCAGTCGTCAACTTCCCTTACTTATGCAGCAATATACCTTCATTAATTCGATATGCAAGAGCATGCTCTACGTATGTACAATTTCTAAAACGAGATAAATTATTGACAAACAAGTTGATGAAACAAGAATATCAGCAGTCTCGTTTAAAGTCATCATTTCGTAAGTTCTATGGTCGATACAATGACCTTGTGATCAGCAAATACAATTTATCATTGAGTCAAATGCTGACTGACGTTTTTCATACTAATTGTTAGGCCATTATTTACACACTGAATTGTCGACTGATTTTTCCATTATTTCCCGATCATGACAAGGAGCACGCGGTGGGTGTGACCGGTCGGCAGGGGATGCTCACTCCTCCATGGCACCTGATCTCACCTCTGATGTTTGGAGGTCCGTGTTTGCTCTGCTCCTATTTTGTATTGTTTAATGGACTTTTGGGCTTGAATACTGTTCGTTATCTCCATATATTTCATTCAGAAACATCTCTAATTATACCTCAATATTTTTTTCATAAAAATCAAATAGGATTTTTTTTTTATTAAACAGCTGCTTTAAGGGGTTTCTGATATATTTCAATTGTTTCAATTGACAAAATTTCCTTAACTTGTGTGAGCAGCGTACAGGCAATTATGTCTCTCTGAATTTGAAGGGATGAACTTTACGGTCCAATGTTAGTTTACATTTCCTAACAAGGCCATTACAATGACCATAGAATTTACGTAAATCCGAGTTTGAACGAGGTTGTTGAAATCACTGTAACATCAGGTAATCTGTCAGTAGCCTTCTTCACTTTAATAATTGATCGTACTGAGAGCATGCTCTGGAGTATCGAATATGTTGGGATACATAAACACCAAATTCAGGTGATAGTGAAATACATGTATTACAACATAAATAAGGAAAGTTGATGTTGATATAGCTAAAGTCAATTCGTTTGCCATACAACTTAGTTGTTAGTTCGTCCTTATCGTCTATAGTCAGTAAAACATCCAAATATGAAACAGATGTGGCAGACTCTGAGGTTTCTTTAATTTCGATTTCACCGAGATATATCCAGGTGACATATGAATGCGGTAAATATTGTTAATTGATAAATATCGTCAATATACATGTTTCTGAATGCCAGGTTGAAGGCCACAGCATGTGTTTTTTCTTCATATAGAAGTTTTTTAATATAAACTCTGCTTCAAAGGTATATAAAAACATGTCGGCTAATTAAAGAGCTCAGTTAGTGCCCATCGAATTCCTAACAGTTTATTAGAAGACCAGGCCCCAAGATACATAGCGGGTTCCAGTAAATGTTTTACCAAGCCTCTTTCTTTACTCCTCACTAAAATATTACTGTTATGAAGGAGAAACTTCAGGAGTACTTTTCAACAGTATATTCGAGAAGTGGTGTTAATTTGATGCGGATACTTAATTTTCAAAGAACTTTTAGAAAATTTGAAATCACAAAATTTTACTAAAATCAATAGCATCAAAACGATAAATTGAAGTCCAGACTTTTTGACATCATAGACAGTTATGGAAATAAAAATGGAACTCGTAAATTTACTTTCCTTGTCATTGGTCATTTACAAAATTATTTTGTTTAAAAGCACTCTGATTGTACACACAAGTACTCTGAAGTTGACATTAAAAAGATGCTTGAGTTTCTGATTGACAATATCTGTGTAGTTTTTGGAAATCAGGTCTTCCAACAATCTGTTGGAAATGTCATGGGTACCTACTGCACCCCTTTATTAGCAGACCTATTTTGTATTCATATGAAGCAGAATTTATTCAAAAACTTCTACATGAGAAGAAGAAAACACTTGCTGTGGCCTTCAACTCGATATTTATATATATCGACGACGTATTGTCAATTAACAATTGTTACTTTCATTCATATGTCGACTCGATATATCCCAGTGAGCTTGAAATAAAAGATACCACAGATTCTGACACAACGTTTTCATATTTGGATATTTTACTAGAAAAAGACGTCAATGGTAACCTAACCACAAACCTTTACGATAAACGTGATGACTTCAACTTTTCAATCGTCAACTTCCCTTACTTATGTAGCAATATACTCTTATCATCTGCATATGGGGTTTATGTCTCTAAGTTGATTCAATACACAAGAGCATGCTCTACGTATGAACAATTTCTAAAACGAGGCAAGCTATTGAAAAACAAGTTGACGAAACATAGATATCAACAGTCTCGTTTGAAGTCATCTTTTCGCAAGTTTTTCGGTCGATACAATGACCTTGTCAGCACATACAACCTATCATTGAGTCAAATGCTGACAGGCATTTTTCATACAAATTGTTAGGCCATTAGTTATACACTGAACTGTCTACGGATTTTTCCGGTTTTTGTTTCCCGATCAAAATAAGGAGCACATGGCGGGTGTGACCGGTCGACAGGGGATGCTCACTCCTCCATGGCACCTGATTCCTCCTCTAAATTTCGAGGTCCGTGTTTGCTCTGCTCCAAATTTGCATCGTTTCATTGGACTTTTGAGATTGAATACTGTTCGTTATCTTCATATTTCATTAATAAAATATTTTTTTGAGTACCAATTACAAAATATGAAATTTTTTGAGTTCCATTTTTATTTAAGAAGCAGTTTATGTAACTCAAACAAATTAAAACATGATAATCATTCAAACTGAAGTATGTTTATTTACATCAACCTCCGTTCAGAGTTTAGTAATATATTTCAGAGAAACGCGGTATTTAGAAAATTTCATCTATAATTACATGTACATTATGTATATATGTGATTCATTACTTTGAGATCTTTCTGTAAATTTCTGGTAAATCTTGGTTAAGCAAGCAATGAATAGAGCCAAATAATGCTTAAATTTCAAGTATCTTATTGCTTTTGTCAATGGGAAATGTTTCAGCTTTGTTATGGCTAGTCAAAAACCTGGATCACTGCAGTGGAATTGTGGTGTCCTCCCAAATACAACTGGATAATGATTTTTTCGAATGATGTCGATATTTTCCGAGGTCCACTTAACTTTGTTTTCGGATCACTGCACTAGAATGGTGGTGTACTCCCTGTAGTAACAGGATAGTAATTCTTCCGAATGATGCTAATATTCTTCGATGACCATTGGACTTTATTTGAAGGGCAGCCTTTAAATGCTTCGATTGTTTCATCCAAGATTTGATTGTACGTTCTATTCAATAAAAATATCACATAATCATTCTGAGTTGATTTTATTTTTTAAAAAAGTTGGATAAAAAGAAATGTTTAAGAATTAATACAAAGGTTAAATTACGAAGGTCAAAGTCACTGAACAATTAAATTTTAAATACATGTCCATTCTCTGGTCTGTAGTCATTGAATTGAGTGAATGTGTCTGCATGTGAAATTATATGTATCCTTTCAACATTTGACTCTTTCCTTAATATCTTAAATTTTTAATGTCACTTGGAAATTAAAGTTTTATGTATGTTTCTGTTGATTAAAATTAATACAAATCTTTTTTCTGATGTTCACATGACATGAATTGTATCATACTCTTGAATCCATTACAAACGTAAGGTTTGGTAAAAACTGACGACAAAATCGTGGAAGGGGAGGAATAACTTATTAAGGAATAACTTTTGGTTAACAAATTTTTCTTTATGACCACTGTTAAAGAGATTGCAGGGTTTGAAATTAACAGTCGCCACTTGTATTAATAATATAATAAGTTATTATAACCCTTTTTCAAAATTTTATATAAATATTTTAATCAAACAGATTCCTCTTAAACTTACTGACAGAAAGAATCGTTGGACAAATCTTTATTTGTTGTGAAATCCTGACCAATGGGTGTCATTAGGGGACGCAGTATCTTAGTGAAGTTATCAAGCTTCTGGTTCAGGCTGTTAATACATTGTCGCAAGTTTTGCAGCACTACAATGAGAAAGAGTGAGTTTTATTAACTTAAATCATTATAAAAGAGCAAGATAAAATTTAGATAAAAACTGATTCACTTTGACCAAACTCACATGGGTATATGGGATTCATGCAAAGGTTTGTTTCTTTCTTCGTATACATTGAAAGGTATTTTCTTTGGTCAACACATTCTGGGTCGTTATAAATGTCACGTTCTTCCGCACAATCAAGAAGTTCCTGAACATATCTGTATAAAGATTCACATGATAGATAAATCTAAAAGGACAAAGAAGTAAAAGGCATGCGCGCTAGTATAAATGATGTTTTTGTGATATATTCATTTTTACATTAAAACCTTGACAAAATGCTTACTTGCAATAATCTGAAAAGAAATTTTCTCCAAGGTAGAGATTTCCTTCTTGGTCAGTTGAATTTAGTGTCGTAGCAGGACATGAAAATAATCCATTACAATCGTCCTCCACGTAGATGTATGTATCGTTTATGTATAATGTATCGTTTATGTATTGATCGAAGTCATCGAATTCATCCCGTCTCATCAAAACATTGCCTACATTCACAAAATGTTTTTAAAAAAAAATAATCTAAATATGCACTTGAATATTCAAGGAAGGATTAAAGTCTCAAAGATACATATACAGGACTTGCCTTAAAAACATTGAAAACGTTTAAAAACTGGATCCTAAACTTACTATAAAATCATTATGTTTATATTATATTAACTAAGGGTAAAACTGCTCATTTTAAATTTAAATGACTGAATTTATATTGTTAATTTTAATATTCTGTGATAGATTTCCCCTCATTTATTCCATATATACCTGATCCCACCTCTGATGTTTTAGAGGTCCGTGTTTGCTCTGCTCCAAAATTTGTATTGTTTAATGGACTTTTGAGCTTGAATACTGTTCGTTATTTCCATTCATTTCATACTCAATACTATTTTGTTCTAAATAACAGAATTTTATGTTTTACTTACCGCTGGCGTACCCAAAGCAAGCCCAACTAATGCAAAATAAGACCCAGTACCTAACAAACACTCCGCGGCTCATGGCTACCATCGTTTTGAGACAGGAATGTTGGATTTATGTAATTTCTGAATACTGCAATTTATGACAACAGTGAATTATATAAAATTATCTTCAATTATCCTCAAAATTATTTAAATCTAATGATTTTCGACTGTAATTCACATTTATGAAAATGTCAGAAATCTACGATTATAAATTTTGACTTGTAACTATATAAATTGCTTTTGGTTTTCCCACCCACTCCTCTTTCGAAATGCAAGCATTTGTTAAGCTTGCTAAACTGTTCTTTGAATCCAGATATGTTACAGTCACGTTAATAGTTAACCATCTTTGGATTGAGAAAACTCGTTCGTATGTATCCGAGCTTAGGGATTTTGTTTTCATCACAACTTTACATGTATATGTTTCAAGCTCACAGTTGTACAATGCTTAAACCTGTGGTTTTCTGGTCGCTTATGCTTTAAAGGTGTAAACAAAAAAATATTAATTACATTTTATCGCTTTTTGTGTCCAAATGAATTCAAAATAACCCATACAGGTTGGTGTGTGAGAGTCCTACCGCCGGTACTCACATTTAACGTTAGCTGCTGCTGCCAATTTCAAATTTTTCAATTGTACAAACATATTTTGTTTTGAAAAGTCATGTAGTATTGACTGATGCAGTAATTATTTTAAAGGAAAGTCTTTACACTGCTCACTGAAAAGTTTTAATTCAGTGGTTTCTGAGTTTAGAGGTTTTCCTCTATCTGTTACAATGAAACTTGGATGTTTAAATATCGGATCAATGGAGAGCAACAGAAAATTGGCTTGCATAGGACTAGGTCAAATTTGGACAGAAACAGAAAGCCATATAGATGATACAACTTATAGCACTATAAAACAACGACTTAGATGTTTCAGCTTATAGCACTATAAAACAACGACTTTTAGATGATACAGCTTATAGCACTATAAAAGAACGACTTATAGATGTTTCAGCATATAGCACTATAAAACAACGATGTTAGATTTGACAAATAAAAACATGCATTGATGTTAACTGCATCAAAGAAAATTTCAAAAGCACAGTTTTCTTTTCCTTTTTGTGTCTAATCATGGGCATTTTTTCAGCTTTTTTTGGCCCCCATAATCTGAGAATCGGAGGCAAATAGTTTTTGGTCTGTCTGTCTGTCTGTCTGTAATCTGTTTGTCCGCAAAAACTTGGCCAAAACTTTTAAGTTTTAACTTTCTGAAAGTACCAACATTTTTGACCTCATGACCCAGACTTCCAGTTTGACCTTTTGTAAAACTTGAACCAACTTGAAACTTGGCGATAACTTCTGAATGGTTATAATGCTGGGGCTTTTATACTTGACGTGTGTACCTTATGACAAGACCTTTCTTTGAGTACCCCTATTTTTGACCTCATCATGTCCTTGGAGTTTGACCTACTTTTGAAAAACGTTAACTTTGCACATAACTTATGAATGGATGTGCTACGGATTTCATATGTTTATTCCTTGTTACAAGATCCTTCTTGGGCACAAACATTTTTGACCTCTTGACCTTGGAGTTTGATCTGCTTTTAAACAACTTTAACCTTGCCCATTTCAGAACGGTTCGTATTAGAACTTTCATATTTCATATGTGCTTTCCTTGTGATAAAACCTTTCCTTGGGTACCATTAAGTTTGACCTCCTGACCTTGGAATTTGACCTACGTTTGAAAAACTTAAGCCTTGGCCATGACTCTTGAATGCTTGTTGCTGGAGCTTTCATATTTCATATGTGTATTCCTTGTGACAAAACCATTCTTGTCTAACATTTTTTTACCATATGATCTTGACCTTGGAGTTTAAACTACTTTTAAAAATTTTAACCTTTTCCATAACTTTTGAATATATAGTTGGTACTAGGGTTTATATTTCACATGACAAGGTCTTTCTTTGGGTACCAACATTTTTTACCTCAAAACCTTGACATTAAGAGTTTGACCTACTTTTGAAAAAGAAATTCTTGGCCCTGAGCTGCCATATGGGGGCAGCAGTGTTTCACAAACACCTTTTTCATCTTGTTTCATGTGTGTTATTGTTACAAATTAAACACCCTGAATCACTGTTTTGAAAACCACAAAGTACTTTCAAATGGTAGTACATGTGATGTAAACTGAAAAGCTAAAGAAAACATACAATAAAATTTACATTTATAAAATTTAATTACAATTTTGTACCTTCTTATTCTTAATAACAACAAAAAAACTGATATATGGAGTGAGATGGAAGCTACTACAGGAATAACTTGTAAGTGTTTTGTCAATATTAATCCACTTCATGTAGGTAAGAAGGTTCTGTAAATATCTGGATACTGAAATGTAAGAAGCAAGCCTTCATACTATTCTCTAAAACTTATTTCAACAGTAAAATAAACCCATAATTCTGAAAAATGTAACTGGCGAGAACAAATTCACTACTGTAACTGTGGTTATTTTAGAAACATGTATCTGAAACTTTAAAGTTCAAATAAAACATTGAACATTGAGGCAAAATACACATAACAAAATTGGACAACTTCTCACACATGTGAACTCTGTAGCACTGTATACAAATAAAAATTGAACATAGACACAGTATTTATAAGATGATAAAATACTTTCAAGTTTAGTAAAAAAAAAAAAAGATGAAAAGAAAAAAATCCTACATGTATTTATCTCATTCAATGCATAAAGAACACATCAACAAAGTGTCTTTATTTTAACAATGTCTATTGATAGTACTGGTAGCCTTCTGACTGTGCCCTTTGTGACTGACCCCCAGAACTTCTTTGTGGAGGGGGACCAGTCCATGGTCCCCTTGGATTTTGACCCCCAGGAGCACTTTGACTGTAACTGTCATTGAAATGACCTTGGGGACTTCCAAATCTTGGTGGTTGACCACCTTGAATTGGAATTCTGGGGCCGGACAACAGTGGAGGGGGAGGCGTAGAGAGATTGGGGGTAGGAACGCTGATTGGAGGTGGATGGGAAATGGGAACACTAACTCCCGATGAAACAGGCAACTGAGTCCTTAACGGAGGTGAAGTAAAAGGAGGAGGGCCAGAGGGAGGAAAACCAGCGATAGATGTTGGCTGGGGACCCTGATGCATGGATGGAAATGCCTGCTGCTGAGCAATACCACCAGGTGGGGGCAATGATGTTGAAAAGGTTGATGGAGGCAAAGAACCGTATCCAGCCGCTAGGTCCCTCCGTCTGTAATCCGAGTCGTCTTGTAGTGGTACAGTGATAAGATTAGTCTTCCTACCAGGTGCTAGTGCTGACATAGAGGCTAGTTGGTAACTATCAGCTTGTTGTCCAGGTATGATTGACTGAGCAGGTGGCTGTCCTTGTGATAGAGGGAGTCTAGGAGGAGGGCCTTGTAGCATGGCTTGAGTGGGTAGAGCCTGGGCTGGGGGTGGTATCTGACCCAGGATGGGCTGTTGATACATGGCATCACTAGGGCGGGAGGAGTGTGGTAGATTCAGATGACTCTCTCCACTAGCGTGCCGGCCGGCTGCTGTTGTGTACTGCTCTATGATTGGTGTAGAGTGCTGTGATTTTGAGCTTACTTTAGAGGTTGTGTATTGTTCTACCACAGGTTTACTTGCTCCAGATGCCTGACTGGTGGATGATGAGGACTTTGTGGAGTCAGTCCTCATGTGTCTGTGGTAGATGTGGGCTTGGAGGTCCCTATGGGACAGGTAAGTGCGCCTACATCCACCATCCCCATGCTTAGGCCCTCCATAGCTACAGACAAATACAGTCCCCAGTGCAGACTGCTCTATTCGCTGGACAGTTTCTTCACACCTACAATTCATGCAGAATATTTTCAGCTATAGGTATAATCCTTACTTGATTATTCATTTAACAAACTAATTCCATTGGTATTTCTTTTTAAAATCCTTTATGAAGTATACCATGCAATAATATAGTATGACAATAAATAATTTTGCATTAAAGTGAAATTCATGGTGGAGACTGTTAAAACATAATTTTCATTTAGCATACATGCAGTTGGAAATAGACACTTGCTTCCAAAGTATACTAGTGTACTTGACAGAATTAAGCTTACCTTGGACAAACTTTATCTGTCTTTCTTGCGCAGTCAAAGCAGAACACATGCTTACATGGAATCTGGAAAATTCAAACATTTATTCCTGTAGACTGATTTTGGTATTCATTGTTTCATTGATATTCATCAATTTGACTTTAAAATGTATATAAAGTGAACATAAATACTTTATTTCTATTAAAGTAGGGTAACTGAAAGTCTGTTATCAGATTTGATAATGACATGACAGGAGACTTACTCAATGAGTTCTATATATACTATAGATCACCAAGTTTTTGCATCACCTTATACTTGGAATTTACAAGATACATTTTAAGCATTGAATTCTTATTTTTGGATGTCATCAGTCCTATAACACACCTGGCTGTGCCTACAAACTGAATACTTCGCGTTAGCTCGGTATGATAATTTGTTGGCAGGGCCATGTGTTATAGGACCAACGACATCCAAAAAAACAGAATTCAATGCTTATATTTACATTCTCTAATTTTTTTCTCTCATCAAAATTGTTTATTTCATTCATCTTTAATAATTATGAATTTAGCGCCCTTCAGAACTGGTGTGCTTAATAGACGTAAGAGCCATTTGTATCGTTGTAAAGTTAAATAACGCAAATGAATATTGCGAGGAAAAAAATGACAAATTAATTTTAAATGCACATTTGTTGTATTTTTACCTTAATTTAACAGGGTAGTTGTTTTTATTAAATTGAGTCAAAACAATATACATTTTGGTGTTCATAGAGTATTGAAAATGCATATAGTTCCTATTGTGTATTCTACTGCACGGTGACAAGGTTTCGCGTGTGTTATAGAAATTTGAACGTTGTGGATTTCTAATGGAAAACAGGCTTATGATGAATTGATGCTTATTGTGAAGTGATTTTCATTCCCCTTGACTTTAAAATATATTGTTCATTTGATTTTATCAATGGCTATAACGAAAAGTGCTTATAACGAAGCAAAATTGCCCATCCCTGGGACTTCGATATAAGCATGTTTTACTGTATTGCAAATATACCATATTTGGCTGAATATAATATGCACTTTTTTTCTAGAAAATGTTTTTCTGAGAAAGGGATGCGTATTTTACACCACAATAGGATTTTGATAGTTTTTTCTTTTAGGTGAAACGCGGCTATCATACGGACATATCGTAGTATTACCTAGGCAAATGGGCAATTTCTTGTTTATCGCTGTATTTAAAACTTCGGAAAATTAATGTTGGAACGTAGGCTTGTTGAAAATGTTATATTTATAATCTGTTGATAATGATAATCTGTTGTTAAATAATATTAAAACAAGTTACAATTAATTTGAGCTGCATATTCATCGTCTTCATGTAGGATTCCTTTGCCACGTGCTTGCGTAATCGTAGTACACATGTACCTAATGGACACTTGGTTGGAAAAAAAAAAATAATTGAGCAATTTCATAATGAAATACAATAAATCAACATTTACTTTGGGTTCTAAATAACACGGTGAAAATTCATTTCAATATAAACACCCACTGTACCACTGTATACTATATGTCCCAATCGAAGCCAATGTTGTGAACACGTGCGCTTGTCACTTGATCTCAACACTCAATGTTTTTAAAGTTAGAGCACTGATTATTTACTGCCCTTACTAATGCCTTTGATCGTTTTCTTTGTTAAAATTCGGGGGGTCGATTTTTAGCCTTCGTATGAACTTGTGTTGATTACGACATATTAAACAGTTAAACACTTGTTTAATGTAATTTTACTTTAATTATCTTATATTTAGCAGCCTCTAGTTAAATTAATTAAGAGTTTAAAAAAAGAAATATAAAGTCTGTTAAAACTTAAGTGTTACAATTACTCGTGCTCTATAGAAAATAAGATATCTGCGAAGATTACTTCGATGTATAAAGACATGATTTACCCCATGTCAATCTGTTCAAAATAAAATTCAACAATTTTTTCGTGCTTTGTTGAAATAAAATTATTTTTGCAAGGATAAAGACAACGTGTTATGTCACGATTGCCGTTAGCTAAAAATAAAATAAAATGCAACAATGTTTCGTGCTTTCTTGAATAAAATCTTTACCACAGCAAAGTTTAAGTGCAAGATTTATAAAATTAGCCTGATATAAATTTATTGGGATGACATTTTGTGCTTTGTTAAAATTAATAAAATTATATCGCGATTTTTAAAGACAACATTGCCGTTAGCTTAAAAAATGATTTATAATGCAAAATTTAATTATTTCTATGAATAATACCGCAATGCTTAAAATCAGGAGTATCGTAAGCTCAAAAAAACAAAGTCTGCGTATGAAAAATTACCGTGCTTAAATTTTCAATACATTATTTCCACAAAGATTTTAAGTTAAAATTACTGCAATGTAAAAAAGACAACATTACTGCTTGGTCAATTTTTTGACAGCATATAATACAACCGAACTGTGTTTTTTCCCCAAATTTTCAAGCCAAAAAAGGGGGGTGCATATTTTACACCAATGCATATTATATTCAGCCAAATACAGTATACGAATATGAAATTTTCACATGCAGTGAGTCTTATGTAAAAATAAAGTTCTTGACAATATAAAGTGATTTACAGAACTTAATAAATGACTTTTTAGTTGACAATGTACCTACCATACGACCATAGATGAGAATGGGCAGTTTACATTTGTCACAGCAATGAATCAGGGGGTCCACCACCTTCTCTCCAATAAGGTTAACCTACAATATGATACAATGCAGGAATAGGCTTTTTTTATTATAAGGAAACTTTTCACAAACTTGCCTCAAGTATGGCTTAGGTCCTAAAAATACACAAAGTGTAGCAAGCAACACTGATATTTTTCATTTAGCTTCTTCTTTTTTTTATGTACTAAACAGAACAGTTGGACAGTAGAAAGTGCATGTGTTATATTGACCTGTATGGAGAAAATTGACATCCAATGGACATATTTAATGTCTTACAGATCCCAATTCTATAATTAAAGAGTACTTTTACATCACAGATTATACAACAACAAACAAGAATGGATGTAAAAATCCAATATATGTTACAGCTACCAGACTTATGAGCTACAATGTATAACCGACAGTAGATAATTGGAGTTATTGGACTGTACCTTGTGGTTCCATCGTAATGCCTGACTTTGGTGCAGGGGTTCTCCTGGCTGTTTAAAGATCGGTGCTTCAATGAACTCCGAATCAGCAACACTTGAATTTTCATCTTAAAGATTAAGATAAATATGACGATACTTATAGCAGGCTAAATAATATTTTTTTTTATTCATTTTAATAGATTTTCTTTGAGACAGAATTATTTTGAAAACTCTTGTCTGACTCAACTGAAAGTAGAAATCCCTTATTAATTATTCCTTTAAATATATGTAAATATGTAATAAAGAAATGTCTTTGATATTAATGTATCATCTGTTCATGTATACCCTGTTTTAAATCTACACATCAAGAATCAATATTGAGAAATAAAGTTTTTGTCATCTTGGCATCATTTTCGGACTTTTCATAACTGTAATTTAAAGTTCTGTCCTTGATGTTTTGTCAGTTTTTGGGCTACTGAATGAGGATATTTTGAAAATGAAATCATTCTAGAAGTACATTTATTTCCCTAATTATGACCCTTTTAATTCAATACTGCATGTACCATAAGGTGATTTAGATTTAATTTGGTTAACACTAGTGTAGTAGTTCTGGAAATGATTCTCAAAACATGAAATATTTAAAGAAGAGAAAAGGATAACTTACCAAACAAGAGGCCCAAGGGCCTTAACGGTCACCTGAGTATAATACAACAATTTAGAGAATCCATAGAGTATAAAATGAACTCAAAGGTGAACCTTTGTTGCCCAAAATCAAGAAAAATATTCAATATATTAACAAACTATCAGTGCTTCTGTACTATTTTAATTCCTTGTTGAAATTTCTTACATTGGCCTCTCTTGGTCTTTGATGAACATTTAGTAAGACAAGTTATTTTTGTCTCATCTTTATTCATCTATTACTTACAAGTCTACCTGATCATTAAAACTAAGGAAGTACTTTTTGTATTATACAATAAAAATTCTTGCATAATTCTCCTATTCTATTAACCTTTCAGGTACATTATTTACAGTGTTTAATTATCAAAAGTAAATGGCAATGGGGAATAACTCCTCTCAGTGGAATACAAATTAATAGAGCCCTGGCCAGGACCAGGACAACCAAATGGTCCAGATGTTCAAAAATCTGGTAAAAATACCCTTCCTTATTAAAACTTTTACTCTTTTTGCCTCTGTTATGCCCAGGTGCAGAGAAGATTTTTAAAGAAATAATGCATTTTTACTACAGATTCACTATAATAATATTCGCTATACATGTGTATTATCAATAGAGCCACCCCCCTCCCCACTGAGAAACACCAGAGCCTCTCACCCTGGGACCAGAAGTTTGCTCACCATAATTAATCATTTTGTTTATCTGCTTAACACTAAGGAGCAGACAGGATTATTTAATAGAATTAATGCATTTTCACTATATTATCAAGAGTCCCACCCTTACACCAGTACATCTGACCCAGGGGTCATGAAATTCACTACTCTCGCAGAAGCACTCTTGCTCATTATAATTATACACTTAGCTTCTTTGCTTTTTAACCAGAATATTTTCAAAGAAATTTTGCTTTTTCACTATATAATCAATAGAGCCCCCCCCCCTTTTCACCAGAACTCTTGACCCTGGGGCCATAAAATTCACAATTTTGGAAGAAGCATCCTTGTGTATCATAACAATGTACTTAGTTTGTTTAAATAATACCAAGGGGCAGAGAAGATATTCAATGAAATAATGCACTTTCACTATAGGATCTATATAGCCCCACCCTAACACAAAAACCCCCAACCCTGGGGCCATGAGTTTCACAATTTTGGAAGAGGCATCCTTGCTTATCATAACTATGTATTTAATTTGTTTCAATAATATCCAGGAGTAGAGAAGAAGATTTTCAAAGAAATAATGCACTTTCACTATATGATCTATATAGCCCACCCAGAGCACCAGAACCCCTGACCCTGGGGCCATGAATTTCACAATTTTGGTAGAGCCACCCTTGCTTATCATAACTATATATTTAATTTGTTTAAATAATACCCAGGAGTAGAGATAAAGATTTTCAAAGCTATTTTGCTTTTTCACTTTATAATCAATAGAGCCCCCCCCCCCCCCACCTTTTCACCAGAACCCTTGACCCTGGGGCCATGAATTTCACAATTTTGGTAGAGTCACCCTTGCTTATCATAACTATGTATTCAATTTGTTTCAATAATACCCAGGAGTAGTGAAGAAGATTTTCAAAGAAATAATGCACTTTCACTATATGATCTATATAGCCCCGCCCTAGCACCAGAACCCCTGACCCTGGGGCCATGAATATCACAATTTTGGTAGAGTCACCCTTGCTTATTATAACGATGTATTCAATATGTTTCAATAATACCCAGGAGTAGAGAAGAAGATTTTCAAAGAAATAATGCACTTTCACTATATGATCTATATAGCCCTGCCCTAGCACCAGAACCCCTGACCCTGGGGCCATGAATTTCACAATTTTGGTAGAGTCACTCTTGCTAATCATAACTATGTATTTAATTTGTTTAAATAATACCCAGGAGTAGAGAAGAAGATTTTCAAAGCTATTTTGCTTTTTCACTATATAATCAATAGAGCCCCCCCCCCCCCCCTTTCACCAGAACCCTTGACCCTGGGGCCATGAAATTCACAATTTTGGTAGAGTCACCCTTGCTTATCATAACTATGCATTCAATATGTTTCAATCATACCCAGGAGTAGAGAAGAAGATTTTCAAAGAAATAATGCACTTTCACTATATGATCTATATAGCCCCGCCCTAGCACCAGAACCCCTGACCCTGGGGCCATGAATTTCACAATTTTGGTAGAGTCACCCTTGCCTATCATAACTATGTATTCAATTTGTTTCAATCATACCCAGGAGTAGAGAAGAAGATTTTCAAAGAAATAATGCACTTTCACTATAGGATCTATATAGCCCCGCCCTAGCACCAAAACCCCTGACCCTGGGGTCATGAATTTCACAATTTTGGTAGAGTCACCCTTGCTTATCATAACCATGTATTCAATTTGTTTCAATAATACCCAGGGGTAGAGAAGAAGATTTTCAAAGAAATAATGCACTTTCACTATATGATCTATATAGCCCCGCCCTAGCACCAGAACCCCTGACCCTGGGGCCATGAATTTCACAATTTTGGTAGAGGGCTCAATGCTTATTACAATCATGCCAACAGTTTGACTGCTTGATGTCCAGGAGTAAAGAAGAAGATTTTTAAAGATTGCATTAATTTTGGTGGTTTTAGCCCCACCCCTCAGGCCCCAGGGGGGCAGGGACCATGAAATTCACAAATTTTGTTCCCCTTCACACATAGATGCCATATGCTAAAATTGGCTGAAATTGGTTCAGCGGTTTCAGAGAAGAAGCTGAAAATGTTCAAATGTTAACACACGACGCACGACGGACGACGACGGACGAAAACAGATAGCAATAGGTCACCTGAGTGACTCAGGTGACCTACAAATATATATATGTGAATTGCAAGAGGTATATTCTTGTTACCCAGGTTACCCAGTTACTCTTATATCATTCACCAGAATAGTTAAAAATTTTGATTGCAGACATCTTCAAAGACACTTATGGTAGTTTACTGTCTTACAAAAAAGAAAGAAATTTTGAAAGACTACATGAACTAGATGTGTTGATAATGCCACGAATGCCCCAGCAAGCAGCCAAATTTCAAATGTAATATTTGTATTCAAACTTGACCCTTGAAACTGAAAATTTCTTATTTTTTCTAAGTTCAAGAAGAATAACTCTGTTAAAAATCATCAAACCATAACCAAATTCGAACTTGACCTGCGTATTCCTATGACAAATCTATATGTCAAATTTGAGTTGAATGTGTGCAACTGTTCCAGAGATAATGAACGGAAAGTGAATGATGACAGAATGACGGAAAAGGGTAACACTATATGTTCCCGCCATGAAATGGCGGGGGCATAAAAATCAATAACAGGATAGAAACTTCCAAAGCAAATATATTATAAGCCATGACTTTTTGATGACATTAAGACAATATATACCCGTGTCTGGAACATCCGGGGGAGATGCCTCTTTCTTTATCTTTGTGGCTTTTCTTGGTCTCCCTCTCGTTGGTTTTGGTTGAGTTTTCAGTTTGATTGGGATATTTTTTTTGACATTTCCTGTATTCACTGTACCACCTGCCTCAGATTCAAGCTCCATTGCTAAAAATAACAAATTTCTTTCATCAACATCACACATATAAATGTATGTGAATTATCACTTGCTAAAATGATTGTTAGATAATTTTAATAGGTGATGAGAATATATTCGTTTATTTAAGTCTCCCTTAATCAAGTTAATTTACTAATGACATCTTTATTATTAGACAACATCATTTTCATAAGGACTTTAACAAATATAATTTAAATTATCTTTTATAACAGATTAATGGAGAAGTCTTTTTCTACCCGATTATCAATGAAATTTACAATGCTTATCTTTAATGCATAGATTCCAAGACTACTAATCCTTTTCACATGTAGGAAGCATCCTTGGGCCAGTTAAAGGGAGAGTTCTCTTTGAGGTGGCATATTTGTAATACAATTCAATAGAAATCTATGTAATTATACCTAAGGGTTGAAAAACTTTTCAATACAGGGTGTTTAACTGTTTCTGCATATTCATTAGTCCCAACTTTGTAGTTTCCAAAAAAATGTTATCAAGGATTTATGAGAGGAAAATTTTGCAAAAAAGAAAAGAATATAGCTGCATTCCATACAATTTTATCCACATGACAGTCTAAATAAAGCTGAATTATTTATTCTTAAAACAGACATTTTTAGAATATGGATCTAAGAGGCAGTTTGCGATTTTACATCATTTATAATTTGTTCCAAACAGCTGAAGGATTTCTCAAAGATCAATCACTGACAAGTTTTGTCTCTGAAGTCCCATACTGCTCAAACTTGAAAATTTGAAATATCTATTCCCTGGACAGACGATTCACATCTGGGTACTTCTTTTTTAAAATGCTATTAGTATTGGTGATTTTTCATCTGTATAGTCCAATTTCACAATATCAATACAGTTATCTCTTTTATCATCCATTTAAAACAAATACTGACAACCTGACTTTTGATGACTGTACATAATCAAAACTTTGATAAAACAATTATGATGTTATAGTAAATAGTGTTTTTTTTAATGATATATATTGCTGGAAAATGTACTATAAAATAAAGTAGTTGTAATTTTGTAAATTTTTTAATATTGTGCCAAAATATCTGACATTAAAAGTTGGGACATTATTATTTAATGCAGGTTCATGTAAATATATAGGCAACTCCTTCTAGATATATTCCAAAAAAATTTCTGACAAGAAGATAAATCTTTGAAAACCAAGAGTTTTTGGTCCACTTTGATCCCCACAAACTCTTGGCAGATTACACTTCTAACACTGTGGCTGATACATTGTTTCTTCCAAGTTAGACCCTTAAACCAAATGAGAAGACTGCTTTCATGTTGCAATACATCTTTTATAAAAACAACAGGTGAACAATCATCTATAAATGTTTTACTACTCTCTGTTCTTGTACACACAAATACATAATATTCTCACTTCATATCTATTTTTGTCCTCTGATAAACCTTTAAGAACCTCCTGAAGTTCTTTAATATGTGCTTTTGTGTGCATCTCCATTTCTTGTTTACAACGAATACTGAACTACAATTTGAAAACTATTACTTGATTGGCTGGAATCCTTTTTTTAAGTACATCCAAAAGATGACACTTATGTCGCCCATAGTTTTTGTGGTGTAATCTGCCAAAAGGTTTGTGGGGAGCAAAGCAGACTGAAAATCCTTGGCTTGTGAAGATGGAGAAGCTAGTGAAAGTGAATCATAACCTACTTTAGGCCTGTGATAATGAAGAACAATACCCGACAAGTAGTGAACATGGTGAAGTATGTGGTTTCTTTCGATTTAATCCTCAATAGTTTCAATTCCAACTATAATTAGGGAGAGATTAATTCATCTACACCTATAAACATGATAAAGTAGTTGGGCAAATAAGACTTTAGGGGACCTGACTATGATGAGCGACTCGATAAGCTTTAAGATCACAGGAGTCTGCAGTTTTATCCATAAACATGATAAAGCAATGTAAACAATAACCAGTGAGCTTCGCCAGCGAAGCAATAGGAATGCAATGTGTTTTTGGCCAATTCTGCTCTGGCGCTTTATCTAATAAAATTAACAACAACTTGCTGTATTATTCATGTCAGTCGATGTTTCTAACCTGATTTCTAGTCCAATTGCCCTCTCATTGCCATACTCATCCCTTAAATTTAACGTTAACTACATCTAAAAAAAATGAAAGAAAAAGTGAGCAAGCTCACATACCCCACGCTTCCCCAAAACTTGACAATGCAACACGTAATGAATGGCACAGTGCATTTTAAATACACAGTATAATAATTCAAAAAGGGGCATTACTTGCAAAAAATCATCACATCAAAACTTCTTGCATACAAGAATAAGGACATTCAAATCTTTGTATGTTACAAATTTAACTGGGCTGAAGTTTCTAGATAAATAATGGAATCAAAATTTCTTGGTAATATACAAATCTATACATTATTCTGAAATACCTACAAAGTTTCAGGAAATTCAGTGCCGGAATTATGCTGACAAACTGTTATTTAAATTCCTCAGTGATTTCGATTTGTTAATGAGTGTAAGTCCATGTCCAACACATGACAGTTTACACATTTAAATAATTGATGGAAACAAAATTATGATGTAGTCATATGAATCTGTTTATATACTGTACTTATGAAATTATTTAAGGCAAAGCACACCAATTTGAAGGGGGGGGGGGGGGGGGGGGG